CGGCACTTCATCACCTTCAGGTAGGTCTCCACCTTGTGCAGGTCCTTCTTGAAGCAGGAGAGCAAGCCGTAGTTCTTCAGCAGGGCGTCCTCGTTGCGCAGGTGGATGTCGAATTTGTCGTAGGTGGGTTTGAGGATCTGGGGACCCCGCGGGCTCCGGTCCTCCAGCTCCTGCAAGAGGATGGAGAGGTGCTGAGGCCTGGGGATGAGCACCCATTACCATGGCTCCTGTTGGGCTTTAGAGGAAGTTGGAGGTTCCCACTCCCCCTTAATCGTATTTCAAATGTACTTCTGAGTTTATGTAATAATTACCCTTACAGGAAAGGTAATTACGCAGGGGTGATGCTACACAAATTGCTGCCAGTGAGAAGGGAGCTGGACAGAAGGCTGCAGGGAGGAAGGAGTGTGTCTTTTGGGGGCCTAAAACAAGGGGAAAGTTGCAGGGTCTTTCTGTAGCTACTCTAGCCAAGGTGATGGGTCCTGGGCAAATACTTATCTCCTTTTTTCACCCTTCTTCCCAGTGAACAAAGCTCTAACCCAGACCCAAGGTGCATCTGCATCTGTGACTTCTCCTGCCCTGCTTTTCTCACCAGTTGGCACAATAAACAGGTGAGCTTTGGTTAATAAAAGTGTTGTAAATGGATGAAATGTGATTATTTGTCTAGGGTCTGCGTACCGCTTCTCAATGCCCAAGCACACATCATATGAAAAGCAAAATTGAGATGGTACTGATACAAATGCCTACTTACAACAGCTGAAGTGCCAGGACAGAACATATCTATTTACTCTCAGGGCCTGACTTTCAAAGTTATTTAGATGCTAGAAGATGTAAATAATGGTCCAGGCTCATTTCTGACAGATACAGAGAGGTCTCAGAGCTCCAGCTACACGGTGTTGCTGGCAGATAAACTTAGTTATCGAGTAAGCATAACTGAAAAGGGATCCTGGCAAACAGTAAGTAATTTAATTTAAGCTAACAGTGCAAAAATTAAGAGTGACCCTTGACAAAGATCTCGCTCCAGCTCTCAGCTGTCTCGGTGCTCTATGAACTAACAGAGAGACACCAGAGCATAGGCTTCCATCTGCACACAGAATAAAATGCCATTTTTATAAAATATCAGGAGCCATTAAAGCCGGGTTGCAAACCTCACAAAGTTGACCTTAAAAATTGCGTGGAGATGTAGCAAATGTGTTGCTGTGTCTGTACAGCAGACTTAAGCAACTGAGTTTTCTTTGGTGCTGGGTTTAGGAAAACTTTGGGTCTGAACTGCTGCGATCTTCTGGTCTGTGCTGCTCTTGGTGTGGTTATGGCAGCGCTGTTAACATTGCTTTGTGTTTTCTTACACTCCCCAGTGACAAATTCATGTGCAATGGGGTGTCGTGATCTTGTTATCTTAAGGTAGGCAAAGTCCAAAGGCTGGCACTGGTGTTCAGAGAGGAAGGTGGGGACATTTCCCATGGTCTTTGGATCTGCTGGAGGACCCCGAGAGCCGAGTGCCCTGTGTCTAAGGGATCTCTGTTATTCTGTCATTATATATTATTATATATT